CCTGGGCTGCTGGAGACACCGAAGGCAGAGGGTCTCCAGCCCCCGGGAGCGCTGCCGGAGCTGCCTCTGAGCGTTGCATCCCCACAGAGATGGCAAAAAATAAGGTAAAAATTGAATAAAATAAAATGAAGCCAAATGCCAGATTCCAGTTGGGCCTGCCCAAGGACAGGAGGATGCTGTCCTGCACCTCCTTGACATGCACAACTTTTTTTGGCATATTTGGGGAGCAAAGGAATGTGCTATTTATACCCTGGTGTTTTAAAAGACTTGCACAGCGTCCCTGACCTCCCCACCTTGTCGCCGTTCCTCAGACATTCCTGGGCTGCTTACTGGAGCTTTATAATGGAACAACCAACGTTGGGAGGGAGGCAACCCCCGGAGGGGCTGATGGCATCTGCCAAATTGCAAGGAACCCAAGGGACGCCTTGCCGGGAACGTTGGGCGCCCAGCTCCTGCCCTGGAACCTCCACACCTTTATTTTCTTCAACACACTCAGCACCCAGGCAGCTTCCAGAGGAGATGGGGCACGTCCAGGTGCCTGGGCAAGGTGTCACCTTCATGGGTGGGCCAGAAGGACTGTTGTGCCGGAGCCACAACAGCAAGGGGTTCCCAGGAGCTCCTGCCAGCCCTGGCATCCAGCACAGACACCCATGGGGGCTGCAGCCAAAAGCCACCCTTGCCCCTGCTTGCTGGCATGGGACAGAAAACCTTCCTGGGAGCCCCACGTGCTGCACGGACGGTGCACGATGCCACGGGGATGGGCTGGACCAGCGGCATGGAGGGTACATCCCACCCTGGCAGGGTGGAACGGGGAGAGAGGACGTGCCGGTCCTCGGGGAGGACGTGAGTCCGTGGTTGCTGGGCAGGGGATGGAGCCCTGGGCTCCCTGCGTGGAACCGGGCTCTTACCTTGCGGTGGAGCAGCTGTGCCTGCGGCCCTCCGTTGCCTTCGATCTCATAGCGGACGCTGTTGAAGAGCGCTACGCCGTACTGCTCCGCGTAGCACCGGCAGAACTCCCCCAGCACCTTCCCCGTCTTCTCTGCAAGGGGAGAGCGGAGCCGTGTCAGGCAGTGGATCGTTTTGGGGAGCTCCCTGCTGCAGACCCCCCCAGCACCCAGTTCGGACACCTTCCCCCACCCATCCACCCCCTCCTGAACCGAGCAGGGTTTGGTGCAGGGCCACGGCTGAGCCCGCTGCCCTCTGCCCTCCCCATCCAGCCCAGGGACTAATTTGGGGTCAGCACTGTCTTCTTCTGGCCTTTCATGTTAATGCCATGGATTCCTCTCCCCAGCAGGAAATTCCTGACATTAAGCTGATTCCGGTGA